ACTTATTCTCGTTTTTTTTACTTGAGTTTGCTCTGAAATGTTCCCCCTCTGCTCGCTTTTTGGTGCAGCACTGAGCTGTTGTCACCAACTGGACAGTCGTCATCGGTGTGGCTGATGTGTATCTCCTCTGCTCTTTCTCACATCATTTGAGTTCATAAGATATTTGAGTGTGCTGTCCCTTTACTGGGAGGCACAAAGGAAATAAAATCTGCTCACAGCAGAGTAGAGAAACACTGATCCCACAGTAGCGTCCATTTATAACACAGACCTTTTGTTGTAAAGCCTCTGAGCCCAGTCAGCGAGGCTGTGGAAAGTTAGCACAAACATTTTTTCCTCCAACTCGATGACTGGAGGGTAGAGAGGAAATGGTCATCTATGAATGAGGGGGCTTCACGTCTTCCTGGAGTGCTCATAGACATAGAAGCCTCACCTGGACGTGTCTGCCCCATAGCGAGGCTCTAGCCGGTCCAGACAGTAGGGAAGACAGAACTCTCTTTTTTTAAAACCTAAATCTTTATTTCTTTTAAAAGTGATTATCAAACTGTCATCAAGGCAGTGAGACAAAAGAATACACTTCCATTAGAGTCCACAGTAATTACAAATGCCAAGTTCCTCTTAACTATTTTAGAAATACCACTATTTTGAACACATGCATTCAGAGGCTTCCCTGTACCAACATGGTGGTCACAATGGCCTTAACGAGTAGCAGCCGCTCATGTGGCATCTGCGTGTATACGTCTGTGATGCAGTGCTGCAGCTGCACAAGTTCCCCTTTTAAACAACCTGCAGATGGTGAGAAGCTCAGGAAGATGCTGGAAAACAAACATGTTTTGAACCATCCATAAATGTCACAACTTGACTGTGTTGCAGCGCATGATTTTGTGACATAGCTAAAATTGAATCTGCTGTTTTCAAAGTTCAACTGCTCCACGATTGATTTGTTGTAACAGTTATAATCAAATCCTGCTGTCAGGTAAAAACATAACATTCAGAAATGTAGAGCTGTGTTTGGGGTGGGACAGATTTAAAATAACAAGAGAAGTAGTCCTGCACCCAGGCTTTGTGCCGGAGGGGAAGCTGAGTGTGCATTTATACCCCTGGCGGAAATTAAATTGCAGGTGGATGTTTCAGTATATCTTTAACACATTTATGGAATGTATTAGTCTCAGAAATAGCATTAAAATCTAGATGTAGAAGTATACAGTTAAAGTATAACCCAGATGACTTCACAGATGTATGTAGATTATGTGATCATGTAGTTTTTGTTTTGAAGAGATCACTTTATTAACATGTAAAAAAGAAAAGTGTCATCTATGTTTTATATAATCAAACTTTTTGTATTTTTATACTTGAAGAGGATTCATAAGCATGTAACACATTTATTCTGTAAATTATTATTTTTCTGTGTTAAAGATTTATTTTTTCTGCGAACCACAGGACGAACCATGATCACACTCAGTTGTAGAGACCAGTGGCACAGTGGGAGGGACTGGCACCACCACATTTATAAAAAGCACATCTCCTCCTCCTTAATCGATCACCTCACCAATAGGACGCCCCGTTTCGTAGTTGTTCTCCTCTATTATAACCAGTAGTGTACATAGGTTACACACCCAGTTCTATTGATGGCTTCTTTATGAATGCGTGACTGTCCAAATCATTTGTGGATGTTCAAATCGTGTATATAAACCCAAATAATATATCACAAAAATCAATTTTATGTGAAATTTTTTTAAGATGACAAAAAATCTAAATGGCATGCATACTGTAAACATTCCTGGAAATCTGCACGCTGGGTCAACAGAGGTCTCATTGTCAATAATTCTGTGTATACGTGTGAGTGTATGATAGAGTAAACAAACTGTACAGTAACAGATTTTTGTATTATGTTCGGAATGGGTCGGCAGAGCCCCTATTATGTTAGAGCAAAGAAGAAGAAGAAATGATTATTCTAACTGTGGAGAGTGATGTTTGAATGATCAGCCTGTGTCTGTTGCTCCGGTCTGAGAGCGATGCTTGCTGTGTGGGCTGTTTTGTTTGTGAATCATCAAGAAGAATGATAATCTGCTACAGAGTCGGTATAGCTACAGACCAACTTAACAGCGCAAAAGACCACGCAGCTTTGTGTATGGAAAATAAAAGTTGCTGCTTTGTGTGAGAAAGATCAACCAAACCAAATGGTTGCTGCTTTTGTACGTTCCTGTTGTGTTTTTGTGACAATAAAGGTGACCCTCTTATACGTGACGCTGGTACGTGCCTCATCTGTGAAAAAGGTGGAAAGTACTTTTACTCACATACTGTATTTAAGTACAACTTTGAGGCACTTGTACTGCACTTGAGTATTTTCATTCCTCTTTCTACTCCACTGAGTTTCAAAGGGAAATATTGTGTTTTATTCCACACAAACGTTTCCCATCAAGTTCAAAGTTGGTGGACTTTGACCTGCATGCTTGCACCATCTGCCCTGATGGTGCTGATCTGTAAGGAGACAGCTACCATCATTCACCAACTACCTACAAGTGGCTGCAGCAAGCTTCTAAAGTCAAATATCTTCTGAAGACGTGCAGATGAATGACGCTCGGCTGAACCAGAGTAAAAAGAGGAACATGAAGTGAAATGCCAAGAAAAACGTGCTAAAGCAAAGTCATCCATGACTAAAAGGGGACAGTCGCAGAGATGGACGATCACAAGTGATGCAATTTTAATGGACGGAGACCGCAATGTACATAAAGGCTATAATGTAAATCTCAGTTCCTTTATTTGTTCCTTGCTCGATCCAGAAGCCATTCTCATTCGCCATCTTGAAGGATGTGTTAAAGGTCTTATTCCTGTTCCGAGACTCCAAGCAGCTGCCTGGAGGAGCCATGAGTGAGGATACAAGTTAGCGTCCTTTGTGGAAGTTTTTCACGGACAGACATGTCCCTTTACTGGAAATCAGTTGGTGATTGGACGTTTCAGATGAAGGACCAAAGGAAAGGACGCCTCATCTCTAAAAACGTGTTTCTTCACTTCCTCTCTCCTCACATCTTGCGTTGGCGGGACTAAGAAGCAAATGAGGGAAACTCGATGCGTTTAAGGAAACTGATGCACCTATAGACAACATAGTACATTATCCAGTATGTAAAGATGTGGAGCCAAAAGTGAGACCCTGCCGCTGCTGGCGTTAGAGGAAAATTCAGAGGATCGCTAAAATCACTAGGATTTAATGTGTTAAGAACTCAGTGTTGGTTAGAGCTGCAACTAAGGGTTATTTTTATGATTGAGTCTGATTTTTTTTTTTTTTCCTCGAATCATCTTTTTTGTGTCAAAGTAGTGAAACGTCGGTTTCTAAACCCTGAGGTGATGTGTTCAAACCAACAGTCCAATTCCCAAAGAGTGCTGTAAAATAATGAGAAATGGAAAATCTTAACAGTTGAGAACTGAGTGAACAAAATAATAGAAACAGCTGTCAGTGCAAATATTCGTTCAGTTAGATTTGAGCTCCAGTGTGATAAGGTCGGCCAGCGTTCACTTAGGTTCGATTACATTTTAATGATTCCTGAGGAGAAGTGCTGCATTAGCAGAAAGGAACAGGGGAAAGATAAAGAATCAAACCTAAGGTTTAAGATAGGAGAGTAATTACAACAGACAGCAAATAGGAAACCTGAATAAACCAGAGGAGAAACATCATGTAGCTCCTACTATACAAGACATGAGAGGTCATTGTTCAGCAGCAGAGGTTGCGGTATTTATTTGTTTATTTTAGTGTTGCTGTCACAACTGTGAAGTGTTTTCATCATTAGTCCAGGATGAGAACAAATGAAACTTAAACATGCTCCTAACGAAATGTTTTTAAAGTAAAATTAGGGCTGGAACCAACAAATATTTTCATTAATAGTGAAATTAATCATTTTGTCTGTAAAGTCTTAGTGAAGAGTCCACAGTGACGTATTTAAATGTATGTAATATAAAAGTTTTGTCCAAACTTTTCAGGGCATTGTATTAAGATATGTCAACAGCAGCAGGTGAACTGCTGCTTCAGAAACGACTCCTTGATTATTAGTCGCTGATCAACTTTCTGCCAACTGACAGTGTTAATGTCGATGAATTAAATGTTTCAAATCTAAATGTTTGGAAGATTAAAGTCCAAACAGAAAGTAATGTTTCAAGAAAAACAGTTTTTACCAAAAAACACTTTAGCTCAAAGTAATAAAAAATTTTTTTTTTTAAAGATTTAACCAGAAAAATTAGGAATGACAATATTAATTAAACAGTTTAATGGTAAAGTAAAGTGAGTAAACTGTCAGCAGCAGCAACTCGAGTCCGAATGGGAGCGAAGTGAAACCGGGAATATGATTTGTTCAGATATGATGCGGCAACACGCAAACACAAGTCAGTGCCATCAGAAGACAGGAAAGCCCAGAGGTTTCTATGGTTCTTTAGAAAATATTATTATAGACAGTTGTAATAAAATACGGGGACGGGTATAAAATGCTTTATTTGTTGAAATGCAGAAACAAACTAGACGTTCATTGTTACACCTGAGTATGAAAAATAATTTAAGTATATTACAAATCTTCAGTGTAATGTGTGAGAGCTACTGATGGACACTGCTGCTGTCGTTAATATTCTGTCAACGCAAACCAATTATTAACAGAATCACGTGGAGCGTTGTGAAGAATAAGGCCTATCAGAACAATTGAGTGCTCATTCTGAGTCGCTGTGGCCATGATAATGGAGCTGAGTGACCCATTCTTCGTCTTAATTAACTCATCTGAAATCTAGTGTCATTAGCACCATGTGCAGCTAAAATTCACTCTAACATTCAGTTATCTAAATCACAGAACGTCTCCACAACGTTAATGTTCCCACACACAGTGTCTTTGTGACATTGTGTTCCTGGAGGTTTGGAAGAGACGGTGTGTGCTGCAGTTTCTTCCACATGTAAGGCAGAATACGACTGTTATGTGTGTGTGTGTGTGTGTGAAGCGTTCAGTCTGGTGTGCAGCATCTTTCAGAGGGAGATGTCCGAGGACACGTGCAGCTGCTGTCCTGGTTTCCATTTGGCGCTGCGTCGGCCGCCGTCTGCCCGTCGGTACGGCTGGTTCCTCAAATCTGAGGCAGAGGACAAAGAACAGCGAGAGTTCACCTGAGACCAGACAGGTACGTGATCAGTCACTCCATCAGAACACACACCGACACACTGGCTCTAGTTTAGATCGTCCTCATAAAACTCAGGCTGCTGCTGTTGGCACATTTTTCTAACTACAGTGACTTTGTAAAAGCATATAATCCACTCTGATAAACTTTTTGGGTGCACCACTGTGTACATCTGGAAGTGTGTGTACTTTTAGTGTGAAGCTGTTTTTAGTTGCAGCGAAGATGAAGCTGAGTGCTGCAGCAGCCAACAATGATTTAGTCCAGTGTTTCCCGACCTTCCTTATCAGATGCCTCCCTCGGCCCTGGCAGATGAACTCAGATGCTCCTTCACAGACTCCAACATTTATTTTGACTGTTTTAACAATGGAGCCATTTATCCCAGACTTATTCTGTTTCCGCTTCTCGGCTTGTTTTCCACCCACTATTAGTGTTCAGGTGTTGGAACCGACTACATGAGCATCTAAATGCTGTTTTAAACAGCATTGTTCTTTCGACTCCGTGTTAACAGTCTGTGTTTCTCCTTCCTGTTTCACAGTGACCCTGTGCTCCTCCCAGTTCAGTGTGGGGGGACTAGACTGGTCTGCACCGAGCCCTGTCCTCGACCCATCAGAAGGAACCGGAATATGCTGCAAGTCTGACTTCATCACCGACATCAGCAGAAGTTTTACTTGGAACATTATTTTTACTCTAAGTACAAGATAAAAGTGTTTTTTTTTCAACCATTGGTTATCTCAGCACCACATCACCTCCACAGAGAGGTTTGGGCTACAAAGTGTAAACTAGTGCAGACGACTGATAGTACAGATACAAGGTGGCGTTCTGAGTATCGATACCAAACAACAGACTCTGAGCAGATCTCTTTTTAACATGCATGTGATTAGATAACACAGGGGTAAAAGAAAAGTTTGGCAAGTACATTTTATTCAGAAGCAGGTTATTACTGATGTCAGCCAGTGCCGCGTCTCTCCCCTGCTGTACCTCAGCTTGCTTTGATCTAGAAAGCATCAGTATTGGTACAGTGTTAAGTGTTACTTGGTATCTTGTGTTTAGTTTGCAGGACTTTCACTTCATTGCCCTTGATATCAACAGCCTGTTTCAGATGAGCCTTTAGTGCCGATATCTCTGCCAGGGCCACTGTTGGAAGAGACACTGACATTCCTGCCCGTCTTGTGTCAATAGGTTAAAATGTCTGTAGCACTGTTAACTAAAAGGGTTTATATGGAAGTAAATCCCTGCCAGAATGTTTGAGGGCCACATGTCGAGTGCTACTCACTGTTTTAGAGTGCACAGAATCAGATTTGGAACCGTAATTCCGGCCGTGCATGTTTCTGGTTGTGTAAGGTTGCAAACTGAACAGCTCTCAATGTTTGGCACTGACAGACTTTCAAACCCAGTGGAGAAATCTGAGAGCACAGACTCAGACAAGTGCATGCATGGCCAGGATCACACTCAATTCTGATTCTGCACTTAACAAATATGTGCCTCTCAAATCATGAGCTGCAAACTGAGTAGAGCTCAAAATGTGGTTTGTGCACCCTCAGATGTTTTGTCGGGGATTTACTTCCGTAGGTTTAAAATGTCACCGGACACAGCACTACACCTGAGGTTAGAGGCCATATCTGATGTTTTCTATGACATTGTCTGAGCTGAACTGGTCATTTTGGTGCCTCCACGACCTGATAAACACTGTGACAGCCTCAGCCTCCATTATCCACCCTGCCAGCGAGACTTGTGACAAACTCTTACAGTCTGTTTTTCAGCCTCTGTTCCTGGATAGAAAGGACAATGTCATGGTCAGCAGCAGAGCGAAAGAGAAACAGGCCCAGCAAGCACAGAGGGGTTTTCAGAAGTCACCTCATCAGTGAAGACGGAGTCGCAGCAGAGACGAGAGGAGCGTTTGGCAGAGCGAGCTGTGAAGGGCACAGACTTGAGAGCTGAAGAGAGGTGGGGAGGAAGGACACAGAGAGGTGAGAGAAGCTTTTAACAGAAGAGACAGGGTGAAATGTTTAGAATGAGACTGGCTGCAGTTTGAATAAGAAACAGGACTGATACAGGTGCATCTTTCTTCTCAGTCAGTGTCTGTGTGACACTGTGTGTAATTTGCAGAGCTGTAACAGGCTCTAAAGCTCTTTTTGCCCAAATTGTTCAGGAACTTTAACACAAAAAACTAAAATTGGCAGCATTTAAAACACATTCTTGGTATTTACTGTTGTTTGAGTTAGACTGACAGGACATCTGCCTCAAAAACAGACAGTCTGCTTCTTTACTTCTTGTTTTTGGCTCTGGAACACAGAACTACATTTAGTCAAAAGGTGGAGTTGGTTCTTTGAAGCCTGGCTGTCCTGGAGCCAGGCTGGCTCTGTTACCAAAATGTGTGGCACAGTTACAGGAGCACATTGCATTCACCAAAGGAAAAAAATGGAGCATCTTATTTTGTAATTATAGCTTACTGTCGCCTGCAGGGGTTGGAACGCTGCAGAACCCGCCTGAAAATCATCACATTTTAATGAGTTCTTTAGCGTCAAAGTAATTCAGTAACGGCTGGCAGTGAGTGAACTGTTAGTAGCTGATTCGGTGTGCTCAGTGTTCAAAACGTATAAGGGCTGAAACAACAGCATCCCACCATGCAACTCACTGTATCCATAGCAACATTATTCTTCCTTTTTCTTGTCAAAGTCTGATCTGTTCACAAGTGAACTTTTAACATTTGAGATCTTTTCCAAAATACATTGCAAAGTAAATCGCATAGATATTTAAGCTCATTTTGATTTTATAGATAACCTATATAAAATCTAAACAGAGGAAAAACAAAAGTTGTCGATCATGCAAACAAATATAAACTTGACAAGAAACATGAAGTATACATAATGTTGCCATGGATACAGTGGGTTGCCATTTGGATGTTTTAGCCTATATATTTGTTTTAGAACAATAAGTATGTTAAATAGCTGTGACAGCTGTCACTGAATAACATTGATACTAAAGAATGAGTTAAAACCTGATGATTTCCAGGTAGGTTCTGCAGCGCTCCAGCTCCAACTTCATCTCAGAACTATGAGAAAAGATCTCAATTTTGAGTCTTTGCTCGTAGTTCTGAGATAATGTTGGAGCTAGTGCTAATTAAGATAGTAAGTCATGGTTACAAGATGAGAGCCAACTTGGTTTCCTCTGGTAAATGCAGTGCCCGTTTGTCCAAGTTGAAGAGGATACAACATGTGAGTGAGTGCGAGAGGCGCTGGTAGTGTCGGACTGATCTTTATGTGATGCCAAGCAGCTCTGTACTTTCACACACAAACAGCGATATCAGTCTTGTCACATCAACCTCGAAAAGAAAGCAAAATCTTAAAATGTTGAACCGTTCCTTTAAGCTGGAGGGAAAATCTGATATGAACCACTGTGAAACTATTAAAGGGTGGATTTGTTTTGTTTGTTTTTAACCTGCTGTATTTACAGAGGCAGTGTAATTAGGCCACACCGGGGCGGAAAACAATTCATCTTGCTCCATTGACTTTGAATTGATTGAGTCATTTTACAAAAAAATGTCTAAAAGCTGCTGCTCTACTGACAAGTCAAAGAACCCAGAGTTACAGCTTTAAGAAGAGCAACTGGGATCCTGACACTCGCTATGCCTTCATGTACTGCAAGCATTTATCACTGTCAGTTCAGGTTGCTGTATTTCTGTCAAACATTTTGACAGTATGCAGCTTGTGTTATATGTCAAATTGACTTAGTGGATTACAGTAGCTTGCTAACATTCTAACAGCTAGCTTGTCCCGTCATCACCTAGACCTGGCTCTGTTAGGAAATAAATTGTAATGCTAATGTTCCTCCCCTCATGCTATGTGTTAGCAAGCTACTGTGAGCTAAGGCACCTGGAAACATACCCAGCAAGATCAGTTTTCCCGTTCTTCCTGCTAATGCCTCACAGCTTATCCACTTTGTTTGCTTAAAGGTTTGTTTTCATTCAGCAGCTTTTAAAATTCTGGGTTCTTTGCTGTGTTGGTAGTGCATCCTGGCGCGCAGCAGCTTCTGTGCATTCTTCAGACCAAATTATCAAAGAAACACCTTAACGTGATACAAAGTAAGTGGAGTCCCGAGTCCCCCCCCCCCGGTGGGCGTGGTTTTCAGAGTATGACACATTGCGCTCTGTCTCTATGGTGATACTAGTGCTATCACTACCTCTGGAAACAAAGTGCATTATATGAAGACAGGTAACACTCACTGATACCAGACCCTAACGTCTCAGTCAGAGGGCATTGTTGGCCACCGACGGACTGAAACACCACCCAGTGGGATAAATACCTCCTGCTCACCACCAGTCATACAGAACTGATGAAGGCTCTTGGAGGAGAGGTGAAATGTCTACCTAAAACTATGTCCAGATGATTTCTTCTACGTCTTTTCAGCGTACCACTACCTGGATGACTGAGAATTTGCACGGACAAGCTCTGAGGCTAAGGCTAACCAGTTGCCCCCGGTAATGCACTTTGTTTCCCTGAATCTCTGCAACAGAGGTAGTGACAGCAAAATTAGCACTAGCTATAGAGTCCCCATACCCACTGTTAGCAGAAATACAGCAGGTTAACCCAAAGTCGATAGTTATGATCCAACAGTGTGTGTGCCCCTGTATTATAGATGTACCAGTGATGATGTCCTCAATGGCTCCGTCCTTCCCCTCCCTCACCAGAGGAGACACCTGCCGCTTCTTCAGCTCTGCAATCAGATCCATCTGTAGCAGCCTGGACCCCTGGAACAGCAAACATGGTCCAGCGTGTTGGGAGGGGAGAAGAAAAAAGATACACAGCCAGCTCGTCTACTATAATAAACGTTGCCTTGTTGACAATCTGACTGCTAGTGCTGCAGTGTTTCCACATCACATCAGTCACTTGAATAAAATTAATTACCACAATTGATAGAAGTGATGTCCACAGTTACAACAAACAATCCCCCAACATACAGAAGCTAGGGTTGCATGGGAAATTTTGTGAGCGTGATTTAGATCCCTGTGTGATCTCAGTCTCACGTGATGATGATTCTGCCATGTTTGAATTAACAGGGAGATCCCTTGCATCAAACTAAGCACTTGCTTTTCCTCACTAAGCTGCATCAACCAGTAACCATAAAGTGATTTATTTCTGCCTGAACTGCTGTTCAGCACTAGGTGAACAGGGCAGGCAGTGCAGCATTTGCAAAACAGCTGCAGGAGGGCACAGACTATCTCTCACCATGTCAGACATGTTGGATTTGTTTTTGAGCCAGTCTTCTCTTCCTGTCTACAGTTCATCACATCATGTAACACACTCCTGCTAAACTTTGTTTGATGCAAGGTGTCTCCCTGTTAATGCAAACACAATCACTGTCATGTGAGGCTGAGATGGCGCGGGGATCTAAATCACTCACAAAGTGATTTAACGTGCAGCCTTAACAGAAGCTTGTGTGTAGCTATCGACAGCTAAAGCTCACCTGTTAACTTTTGCTGCCTTTATATTTACCATTAAACAAAGACGTTACCTTGTTCCCCATGAGTTCATGTTTAGGTGGGATGGGCGGAGCTTCACAGTTGAGGGTATGTTTCCTCCTCTGCTCGTTCTCCTGCTCTGCTTGCTGTCAGAGACAACACAAGTGTCTTAATGTTGTACTGAACACCAGAGGTGCAGACGTGAGCTCACTAGCTGCTGCTGCTTTCAGCGGAGCATGTGTCTGCACTGGCTGGTCACTTATTCCAGGAAACACAGTAGGGGTTATCTCACCTTGTACACCTTGATGAATCTGACAAAAACAGGGAAGAACATGGATGGCGGAGTGGTTTTAGAGTTCTCGCCGAAGTACTCCACAACAGACTCGTACACATCCTGTACAACAGGAAAAAAATTTTGCTTCACCTGACCCAAAACAAATGGGTGAATACTAGAAATCAGTAAAAACACAATTAACAAGGATGGTGCTGTGGAGTTAAAGCTGACCTGGGCTCAAGGATGATGCTGTGGAGTTAAAGCTGACCTGGGCTGTTTTTCCATCAGCTAGGAGAGAGTTGAGCAGCTCTGTGTTGCTGCTGAGAAACGTCTGCAGCACGGGATTGTGTTTTTCGACAGAGAACTCCCTCCTGGTCACCTCCATACTGCACTCCAGAGCGTGCACATCCTGCACAATACTGTCAAGGGAAACTAGAGGAAGGAGAGAAGATGGGGAACTGTCAGTCAAAATGTCATGAGGGCTTCATCTTAACATTCCCACCGCTGCCTGGCAGCGAGGTAATTGGATTATGTGGCTTCAATGCGGGTGACACTGGGATGTCGGGGACAAAAGGAAAGAGAGCCTGCACAAAGGCCAACATTCAGAATAAAGTGAGTCCTACTGTTAAAACTTCTCATTAGAGCTGACACATTTATATCTGCACAAGTGTGGTTCAGTGTCTTAATTGCCTTTTAGAGCTGAAACTACTGATAATCTTGGGGCTTTGTTAAGCAGATTCTCCCTGAATAAAATAATATTTATGAAACTAATTCAAAAGAAAAATAACAATGAAAGAAATATCACTAGTGAATAAAGACAGCTGTCCGACCCACAGACTCACTATTTTTACCCAGGTGACGAATATGAAAACTAAACCAGTAACACTTGAGTGTAGTGTGCAGAGCTTACCCAGCGCTGCCTTGTCCAGGAAGTGCAGCTCCGTGTAGAAGGCCTGGGCCTCGGGGTATTTCTCCTGGATGACATTGACGATGAAGTGCAGCAGCGTCTGCTTACGGTCTGTGGACTTGGTGTCCAGCAGCTTGGGATAATAAGCCGAGAACGATGACCGACAGATGACATTAGGAACAATACTTCTCAGAAAGCGACACCTGTTTGTAGTTGTACAGAAAATCAAGGGAAGCTTTGATACAATTTGAAAGGCTCTGACTCACCAGGTCTAAGCTCTGCAGGCGGAAGCCATACACCGCCCCTCGCTTGCTGCTGTTCATGTAGTTTCCAAACGCTAAGATGATCTTTACCCCACAGACAGAGTCAGAAACTAGTCAGTATTAAATGTGCAACAGTCAAATCATTTAGTAACAAGGTGACAAAAGAAGAGACACTGATATTGTCATCATTCAGTTCTGTTTAAAACGTACAGCAAAGCACAAGCAGAGGCTGAATATGAGGATTTGAAGTGTGATGCAGTTGTAACTGAACTGACAACTCATTTTCTGCACTCAGATTTCTGGTGTTCAAGTCTTTGCAGTTAACATCCAGTATCCAGTGTAGTGCAGCGACTGTTCCACTGCAGGTTATTCCTAAGAAAATAAAAAAGCACTCACCTCAAGGATTTTCTTCAGTTTGCTTGAAGATCTGATCGACATGGAGGCAGCGATGATGGCGTTCAGTTGCTGAAAGAACATCGGTTCAAACTGTTTCTCAGATATATCACAGCTGTATATGTTACACCTGTGAGATTAATCCACTGATGGTTGTCTGTACATCCATGTGTACACTGCAGATCATCAGCGCTAGTGGCTATAATGGACACATTTAATGTAAACAAATAGAGGTTAAAGTCCTGTGATCTACACAGGCGGACTGGCTGCTTCCTGGTCTCCTTCGCCGTCTTTCCTAAAATACAGGTTCAAGATAGATTATCCCACTATATCCCTACCCCCGTGAACTCACAGGCTGTATTAGCTGGATGCTCTCAGGGAAACTGCCCATGAAGGAGAGCGTGCTGATGCGCTGGGAAAGCCGCGGGATCTTACTGAAGCGCACCATGAAGCGGTCCTCCTCAGTGAGCTCGTCTAGGGGCCGGCCGTCACACTCGTAGTTGTGGATGAGCTTCATTTCATACTCCGTGGGGATGAAGCGCTCCAGGAGCTGGAGAAAGTCCAGACTCAGAGCTTTCTGGTTGTACCTGTGGAGAGGGAGAGACCTCACTGTTCTGGAGGGGATGCATAACATTATGAAGTTTTATAGGCACATTATTCAGATGTTATGAACATACGTCTCGATGGCACAGCAGATATCAGACGCAGCCATTCCTTCCTTGCGCAGGGTGATAGCCAGGTTTTTGGCCCTGTTGGCCTCCATTAGAGACACCTTACTGGGGGTTTTGTGGGCCAGTTTCATCTTGAGGGTACCCAGGTCTAGAGGGGCGGACTGGGCCTTGGTTTTGAACTGCTCCTCAAAAGCAGCCATGTTTACCTCCTGGTCACATGAAGAGAAAGGTGCAGAGACTGAACTAAAACTGATGAATTTCACAGCAAGAATATTGCAAACATACTGTATGACCAACTCTGGGTCACTGCAACATTCAAAGACTCTCACTGTGTAATGTGATCCACCACCGGGACAGCAGGTCATTTATCCATGTTTGACAACATGTTGCTGGGCCGAAAAATCTCTCGGCTCCTGATAACTATATTTAAATGTAATGAAGCGGGGCCCTTTTTCAGAAGCTTCGAGAGGTCCTTAAACCAGTTTTCAAATGAGCAGCAGATGTGTCTGTAGCCATACAGTCTGATTTACACTGGAGTGATAAAAGGAACAGTTGACATTCTCTAGATACGAGCTCCTGATTTAAATTTCATGACGGACCAGATCGGTGCAGAAGGGAGGGGTTTAACCAATAAAAAACAAGCCGTGTTAAAAAGTAAGATAAATATACAAATAAGTTTGACGAGTGACTCGACTATGAGGCAAAGCAGATCTACAAGGAAAGACAAACAGGCACCGTGCACGTAGTGAAACCTGAGATGGAGACAAATACAGACACAACAGAAGGACGGGACATAAACGTGCTCACACCTCTAAGACGCGCTCGTCATCCAGCTCGCTGAAGATGGTTCCTGCCACCTGGCTGGACTTCAGGGCCTGCCAGTTGAACAGCGGCAGGTGGTATTTGGTCTTAACGGGCTTCTTCTGTTTCCAACCTGGGAGACAGAGGGAAAATGTTCTGAGACAACTGTGACTCATTATGACTGATGTTAAATACTGGGTGAAACAGGTTTTTGATTCTGAAACAAAGATACCAAAGGCTATTGGACAGAAGAGCCTGGTGATTACTTTGGTGGCAAATAAGGACATGTTATATTATAATCTGTTTTTATTCCTGTGATAATGTAAAATTAAAATAATTCATCTGATACTGGAGAGTCACATCTCTGAACTGCTGAACGCTCACAGACTGAGTTGTTGGGTTGTTTTGTGTTACAAAGGTCACAAATTGTTTTGGATAGCTGACAGCTTTCTGCTATACAAAAAAACAAAAACCAAGAGTTAAGTAAAATGAGGTGAAATATTATTAAACAGTGCAACAAATGAATAAGTGGGACTTAAACCACACGCCTTCACCTGTCCACTGGGAACAACTAGCCATTTAGATACACTTTGTCGTAGCACAATGCGACAGCTTCGAAATTTAAGTTGCATAAAAGTGCTTCTAAAATTAACACCCGTTGCACTGAAGTGTTCGTGCTCCACCTTCTCTGGGGACTCACCTGAGCTCACCAACAGAAGGGCTGTCCCACCTGCCGGAGGCAGCAGTGGGGGTGGAGCTGTAGGTGGAGGAGGAGGAGCTTTAGATAAGCCTAGAGGAGGAGGCGGGGGAGGTGGAGGGGCTTGTGCCGTCGCCGACCGCACAGGGCCTTCAGAGAGATGAGGCAGAGAACCTGAGGACGTGGGCGGGGCCTGACAGTCATCACCACCACCTGCCAGGGGAACAGTGAACGATAAGGAGGAGACTTTAGTGGGAAAGCCAATGTGGGGGGAGTTGTGCTGTGGTGCAGCACCGCTGATGGCCACTGGATGCTGGCTCCAGTTCACTGTCAATCAAAAGTATCAACATCTCTGTGGAAATACTGAGTCAGTTTTTCCAGGAGCCACGTGATCTCTATCACTGACTCCAAGGCGTCTGATACATGTAGCAGTGGTGATTTTTTAGGTTACTGCTTCATTAATAAGATTTTAGGGCTTACAGAAGCTGGGATGGCTGCAGTGTGGGCGTGTCTGTTTGTATAACGCAGTAAGGTTTGTTTTGTCCTGACAACATTCATCAGTAGAAAAGTGTGACGAGTGACCAGATCTGACCTTTCTGCGTCACGTTCTGGATGATGGGGACCACCTGAATGTCTAGGTGTCCTGATGAAGAGCGCTCCATGCGGACGAGCCCCTGCTCCGCCAGAGCCTGAACCTTGAGCTCCAGCTCCCTCAGGGCCTGTGTGGATCTGTCCTCGTCTCTCTTTCTCTCTCTTTCCGAGGTCTCTCTCTCGCTCTCGCTGCTGCAGCAGAGTCACCTTAGAGCAATACTCACGTAGACTCTCCTGTGACAGACATGGGGAGGAGCAGTAACATCACAAAAAGATGTGAAGGTGTAAAGAGGAGAACATGGACTTTACCTTCAGGAGTTCCACTTCCTTTGTGCTCTGAATGAGCTTCTTCTCCAGCTCGGAGACTTTCTCCATCGCCTCGCGCTCGCTCTCCTGAAGCCTGCTGCTCAGCTGGCACACACACACACACATGCATACGTTTCATTCAGACACTGTGTGATGAAACCTGGTGAAATAGATCGTTGCACCCTTGGGATGCTGTCACCTAGGGCGCACTATTTCAGGTGTCTTTGGGTCTGAACTGGACTTGATCTGCCCACAACCTCAACAAATGAAACCCTGTTTGAAAGCTCCGTCTGTCCTGATTCTGACTGTACCAAGCATTTTAGAATTCCACACGCTGCAACAGCTGCTTGTCATTTCACAGCAGGCTAGCACACACAAGTGAAATGTTCTTTTCTAAAGACCCATATTATCACGTGTGACTGATGTTTTTTCCTTCCCCAAAAAGTAAAAAAAAAGCCAAGCCAAAACATTTCTCTACCATGTTTGTGCCTCTGTAACTTCATTCCTTCATTCCTGTTCATTCTTACACTCAGTTTATGCAAAATCAGAGAGTTGCATTTGAAAACAATGCGTGTTATATCTGTGTCCTTGTGTGTACAGCATATCCACCTGTGTGTTGTGCTCCTCCAGCTCCTCCATCTGCTCCAGCAGAGTGTTCTTGGTCTCTGCATCCTCCAGCAAAGCTCCCACATCAAACACATTGTCCAGATAGGCCTGAATCTGCACCAGCAGCCTGTCGCTCTCCGTGCACTTCAGCTTCTACACAGACACACAGACACAACCCCACTAACACATTACAAATGCACAAAATTAATGCTACATTTTGTGTAGCATTAATTTGCAACTTAAATGCAACAACTGTGTTGTTTCAAAGTGTTTACTGAACCAAAGCTGCATAAAAAATTCTCCTGATAGAGGTCAGGCTGTAGGGTCACCTCCAGGTAGTCATCCAGCCCGTGTTGCGTGAACTCGTACTGCAGGTGGACCCTGAAGTTCATGTTTTCCACCGAGTGCACCACAATGTTGATGAACTGCATGCAGGCCACCTGGTGGACAGACAGAGCACAGGCTGTTTGCTTTTCCAACCTAGTCCTCAGAGTGACACTGACTCATGTGACATTGTGAGAGGCCCCCTTATTTACTCCAGAATAAATACACTACATGGCCAAAAATATGTGGACACATGTGTTTGCCTGTACTGTACTGTTGGTTCCTAACCCCCAGCCGCGTGTACATA